TTATCCGTAGATCAGATCATAAAGCAACATTGAGGTCTCTGAGTTCTTTGTTGTTTCCAGGTCCTAGTGACTTTAGGCCTAGCTGGCTTGTTGCTGTCCAGCTCCCTTTTCTGCATCTGAAATCTATGTGAGAAACAAATTCAAAGAGAAATAGGAGGGAGGTAGCAAAATCCAGGTTAGAGTAAGAAGAGAAATTCTTTCTGCTACACAGCAGAGGTGGCAGCCCCCCGTAACTCTAGCCCTGTGCTGCTCTTTACCTCATTCTTTTTGGAGCCGTATTTAAGCTTCCTTCCTTTCTCCCTGCTATCGTGAATGGCCAGGCAGTTGCTCTGTAGTACTCGGATATTAGCTGATAAATTTTGCAAACTCTTCTCAGGACTTTCTGTTCTTATACCTTAAGCAATCAGATGTTTCAGGATGGACAGGGTACATCCAGCCTGTTTTCTCCCACAGCTTTGAAGTCTTCAAAAAGATCATCTAGATGGTTTCTTCTCCTTCTGCCTGATTTGATGACGAAACTCCAAAGCTAATGTCTCTTCCCCTCACTCCACTCAAAGACTACCTTCCAGCATATCTTATCCAAAAGAGCAAGCTCTGTTAAGTGTCACTTAGAGATATTTTGCTGCTGATAAAATTAGTTTAATATGTTTCACAACTACCACAAGAGTAAAAATAAAGGTGTTTTTTTTTTTTCCTTAAGTCATAAAACCGCAAGGACAAAAGAACAGGAGTAGGAAGAGATGATAAGGATGAGACTTGGGCATGCTGGAAATCAGAATGGCAAGTGTGAAGTGATCTATTGTACTTAAAATCGAACCCTAATCCAGCAGTGGGGGAAGCTGGGCAGCACCTCTGCACCCTGGAACCCTCAAAGAGCTTGGTAATTGTTGACATCAGGTACCTTTAGTGGGGGAGGCAGTAAAACTAAAAACAGGAAGACTAGTTAGAAATTCATATAAGAAACATTTAGACTCTCAAATTCTCTCCTCCAACAGCTCCCTGAAAGGCAACTCCCTTTTCCCTTCATCAACAGAAGACTGGAGACTTATACTCTAGAAAGAGTAAACAGATGGTCTCTGGACTGTTGGACTCCTGGCATAAGTGAGGGCATAGATTGTTTTTTACCAAAAGCAAGGAGGATTAAGTGAAACTTTGCCTGTTGAATGTTGAAACTTCCAGGCTCCTTTTCCAACTCAGCTTGCAGTAAGCTGGACTTATACTCTCCAGGCTGGAGTTTAGAAGATTCATCTCTAGAAAATCTGACCAGTGCAAAAGAAAAAACTTAAATGAGTTAGTCCAATTGCATCTCTCCATACTGAAGCCATAGTTGACAAGTCCTACCCTATGTACACAGAGCTTCCAAATAACTTAGAGTGAGTGTCCCAGTCTTACATATGAGCAAACAGCCAGGCATCATCAGACATCTGAGGAGGTCTACAACATGAAGTCTCACCAGGACAAACAGAGCAAAGCAACTTGGAACCAGAAACCATGCAAAGAGATTGTAAACCTGCCCCTTCAAATGAATAAATGAATGAGTGAATGAATGAATGCTTCAGAGAGTTGAGAGGAGATTATATCCTTGAAAGAAAGAACAATATGCCACCAAAAAAAAAAACCTTGAAAATTAAAAATATGATAGCAGAAACGAAAAACTTAATAACGGGGATAGAAGATAAAATTGAGGCCACTGCCCAGAAAGTAGAATTTTTTAAAAAAAAAAGTGCTGGAAAATAAGGGTATTTGCCTAAAAATCTATCATCTGAATAACAGACATTCTAGAAGAGAGAACTAAAAAATGAAAAGGAGAAAATCATCAAAAAAATAACTTAAGAAAATTTTCTAGAACTGAAGGTCATGCATGAGCTTCTAGATTCAAAGGGTTCAGTAAAGGACCCAACTCAATAGATGAAAACAGGCTCACACCAAGGCACAGTATTAATTATATTTCAGAACACCGAGAAGATGCTAAAAGCTTCCAGAGAGGAAACAACAGGTTACATACTAAGGACAAGAAATCAGAATGACAGCAATAGAAGCTAGGCAATGGAACGCCTTTAAATCCTGAGAGGCAGGCTGGCTGGGTAGCTCAGTTGTTTAGAGCATGGCCTTTTAACACCAAGGTTAAGGGTTCTGTTCCCCGTACTGGTCAGCTGCTAATAAATAAATAAATAAATTCTGAAAAGAGATTACTTTCAGCTTAGAATTCTATGTCTAGCCAAATCTCACATGTAAAGATAGAATAAAGACATTTGATGATATGTCGTATCTTCCAAAGTTTAATTCCAAAGCATCCTTTTGCAGGAACCTACTGGAAAAGGTACTTCACTGAAACAAGGGAATAAACAACAAAGAGAAAGACTGAGGTTCTAACTTCAGAGTCAGGAAAAGAGAATCTTCAGGATGATGAGGCGTGTTTCCCTAATGTCAGCTATTCAGCAGATCGAGAGAACAAACAGCTAGAAGATGAAATACGCACAGGGATATTTTTGAAGCACAAGAAACTGTTTTGTTTTGTTTTGTTTTGTTTTAAAGATGACCAGTAAGGGGATCTTAACTCTTGACTTGGTGTTGTCAGCACCACGCTCACCCAGTGAGCTCATCGGCCATCCCTATATAGGAATCCGAACCTGTGGCCTTGGTGTTATCAGCACCGCACTCTCCCAAGTGAGCCATGGGCCAGCCTGCACAAGAAACTGTTAACAGTGGTTACCTTCAAAGTAAAAATGGGATGGCAGAAAAGGGGCATTTTCTCTTTCTTCTTTATATTTTTATGAAATATTTAATATTTATAGCATGTATTATTTTTCTAATTTTTTTTTTAAAGAAAGGAAATATGCTCCTTCCACTCCAGAGGAGATGCTTAACCCTTATAATGACAGCAGAATTCTTTTGTTCAGAACCTGCAAAGGAATTTTGCTAGGAAATCTTTAAATCCTCTAGCCAACCTTCTGGGGTAATTTTAGGCTTACACTTTTTTATTATAGTTAAAGAGCTTGGGAGGGAATGTCTTTTGGGCAAAGAGGACCTGAACTCTCTCCTAGAAGATTGCCCCCACCCCCCATTTCAGTGTTAGGCTTTCCATAAATGTAGAGCAAAGGAAGGTTTCCTTTGGATTTCTGGACTGCAGCAGTACTCTTTTTGTGACGGCCCTTCCATAAGAGCTTTCTCTGCTCCAAGATTTTGATTACCAATAATTAATCTCAGATGAAAGATTCAGTTGCTACAGACTTCCTCTGTCTTTGACCTAAGCGAACATACTGTGAATCGTTTGTTTGTTTGCTTGCCAGAGATCTTATCTTGATCCAGAAGAGCTGATAGGATCATAAAACCAGCGTTGATCTTTCCTCAGTGTTCTTTCTCTACAAAATGGGGGGTGTGATATCTTAGCCCAGGACAAATACGAGGTTTAATATATGTCATGAGGGAGGGGGGAGGTTGATGGTCATTTAATAATGGCTATATTTCATAAAATTTAAATATCTCTGTAGCATGTTTTAATCCCCATGCTTTCTTCACTCTTTCTTGATGTATTTGGATAAATCACTACAGAGCAACCAAGCCAAATGTCCAAACCACCCACTTTCCTATTCCCAGCACATGAATCAGAGCAAGGCCAGCTGAAATCTGGGCCAAGCACTTAGATGACTTGTATGTCTGATTTTTGTTCCGTGATATGAAACTCAAAATAAATCAAAAAGGGAAAATTTTTCAGATACCAGCTAATTCACAAAAACGTCTCCAGCCTTGTGCACACGCAAAGCTAATAAACAAACGTACTGAGTGCAGATACGAGGACTTTAAAGATTAATTCCTACAAGCACAAAAAGATACTCATGTATAGCAGTCTTACTGAACATTTATGTTCAGTTTTAGTCTCTAAAACTTGAGTGAAGTCTGAAGAATTCGTGAAAGACTTGGAAAATGGGACCTTTGAAGAAAGGTTAAAGGAGATAGAATTTGAGCTTAGAAAATGAGGAACGTGATAGAAAAGAAACGCGTGGATAGCAAACAAGGGTAGATCCAGAGGAAATTGGCATAAATGATAGAGGAGGCATTCTAGTTTAGATGTTAAGAATAAACTTTCTGACTGTGAAATTTGTTGAACTCAAAAATGAACAGCCCAAGGAATGTTGTCTGGCATAAATGATAGAGGAGGCATTCTAGTTTAGATGTTAGGAATAAACTTTCTGACTGTGAAATTTGTTGAACTCAAAAATGAACAGCCCAAGGAATGTTGTAGAGCCCAAGCTACAAAGATACAGAGGCTGAAGGAAGTTCACTTAGTGCATGGATTAGCGTTCTCAGATACAGATGTTTATAGATACAGATGTCTCTGCCCGATACCACAAATCTGATATTCCAAGCAATCGGCAGAGAAATGACACCTCTCGGCACAAATGTGGCACCTCTGCTTGTCCACAGCACCTTTAGTTTTTTTCATTTAGCAGAAGAGCAGTCCATGCTGTTTAGAAGCAGGACTTGATTCCAGAATAAGGGTGAACAGTATAAACAGAAGAGCAACGAGAAATGATAAGTCTAAGGGGTTCTAGAAAAGAGAAATCTTTTTCTGGCCCTTGTTGCCAGGTATGGAAGATTTTAGAAAAGAGGAAAAAATACCTGGAGAACATATCTAAAAATGAAGAAAGATGTGGTAATTATAAGAATAGAGGCTGTTTTTAGGCAGAGGAAATTGATTTTCATGAGATTGATCTGGAAATTACCTTCTCTTTATAGTACACCTTTCTGTTGAGGAGATACAACATCTCCTCTTGCTAGATAAAGACAGAGTCTCTTCCTTTTATAAAAGAATATCACCAAATTACAAGGAAGTTGAAGTCACACTTTGAATTCCTGGCAAACCCAGGACCAACCCCCACGCTTTCTCCTTTGGCCAGTGTATATACTGGTGTGGAGCCATTCTTCCATCAATATAAAAAATCTATTTCTTGCCTTGGCTTCTGTTTTCATTGCTAACCTGTATCTCTCCCACTCTGTAGCTGGGATGAAAGCAGCTCCATCAGCAGTGGGCTCAGCGATGCCTCGGACAACCTCAGCTCGGAAGAGTTCAATGCCAGCTCCTCACTTAACTCCCTCCCAACTACTCCCACTGCTTCTCGCAGGAACTCTACAATAGTGGTGAGTGAGTTTGCAAACACCGAAGCCACCATCTCAAGATGAAACACCGGGCAAACTGGGCAGTGTCTGTGTACGTGCTTGTACATACACACCCACTCCACGGGACTGGTTTCCACTGGCCTTTGGCCAAGTTCTTTTAGAGCTGGCAACAACAACAACAAAATGCTAAGGCTAACAAGCAGTCATCCAAGACATTAGATGTTGCCATAGTGTCTACATTTAGTACCCACACCAAGCTGGAGTGATACGTTACCAACTCTTATGAGTTGTTCCAACTGTAGAAGAAAAAGAAACCCAGAGAAATATATGAGATCTCCTCTCCAGAGCCCTAGGGGTACAGGTAGAAACCCTGGGTTGACTTAATACTCCGGGATGAGCAGGGCCACCTACTAATCAAAGTAAATCCCCTCAGCTTTCCACTCCCCTATCCCCATATGAGTGTTTCACTCTGCCTTTTTCTCTTCTCATTAGCTACGCACGGACTCAGAGAAGCGCTCACTGGCAGAAAGTGGGCTGAGCTGGTTTAGTGAATCAGAGGAAAAGACTCCCAAAAAACTGGAGTACGACAGTGGTAGCCTGAAGATGGAACCTGGGACTTCTAAGTGGCGGAGAGAGCGGCCTGAGAGCTGTGATGATTCATCCAAGGGTGGAGAACTGAAAAAGCCCATCAGCCTGGGACACCCTGGTTCCCTGAAGAAGGGCAAGACCCCACCAGTGGCTGTCACTTCCCCCATCACTCATACAGCCCAGAGTGCCCTCAAAGTCGCAGGTGAGCCTGGAATAGAGGAAGGGACAAGGGCAAAGGCCATTTTGCCCTTGGTTTCTTTGGTTGCCCCTCTTCTTAAGAACCATTAACCCACAGGATGATAGCAAACTTGTGCATAGTGCTTTACACATTATCTTATCTGGTCTTTGGGACAGTCCTGTGACTTAGGAAAGATGAGTATTACTATGTCCATTTTATAAATGTGGAAACAGAATCTCAAAGAGGTTAAGTGGCTGGGCCAGAATCACACAGCTAATGAGGGTTAGGGACGGAGTAAGTTATGTTCAGAGACCAGTTTGACCTCCCTTCAAACGCTCCCCATTGGCTTCTTTCTTTCCTCTCCCAAGACATTCAGTCAGTGGACTTACCTTCACAAGACGCTTGCTTGACATCCCAGGGAGCTCCCAAGAAAGCAATAAATGACATGGCTACAGCAAGAGAATTATAGTGCTCCCAGCGTTGGCCCCTGGGGTAACTGTTAGCTTTGATCGACACTTCCCTCCAGTCTCTAACTACCAGTAGATCCTGCCATACTCGATTCCGTTTGCTTCCCCTCCTTTTCCCCCTTCCTTGACCAGTTGTTAGATGCAGTTCCTTCCTGATCATCTTGGTGGTTGCCTCTGCCATTTTAGCTAAAATGGACCATTCTACTCTGGGAGCAGAAAACACAAGACACAAAGCAAACAAAACAAAGTCCTAGCCTCCCCACCCCTCGCACCCAGAGTCCCTCTGGGAAGAAACTTCATCAGCTTGTCTAGCACCTGCTTACCCATATTGACGCCTCTAAAATTGTACAATACATTGACAATGTATGCTTCTCCCATGGAGGGAAGGTAAAGGATTTTTAAGATACTGGTCAATTTCAACTACTCTTACCTCATTTCCTGCCCTCTTGCAGGCAAACCTGAAGGCAAAGCTACAGACAAGGGTAAGCTTGCGGTGAAGAATACTGGGTTACAGCGCTCCTCTTCTGATGCCGGCCGGGATCGCCTGAGCGATGCTAAGAAGCCCCCCTCGGGCATTGCTCGCCCCTCCACTTCAGGATCCTTTGGCTACAAGAAGCCTCCTCCTGCCACAGGCACAGCCACTGTCATGCAGACTGGTGGTTCAGCCACTCTCAGCAAGATCCAGAAGTCCTCGGGCATCCCTGTCAAGCCAGTAAATGGACGCAAGACTAGCTTAGATGTGTCCAACAGCACAGAGCCGGGATTCCTGGCTCCTGGAGCCCGTTCCAACATCCAGTACCGCAGCCTGCCCCGGCCAGCCAAGTCCAGTTCTATGAGCGTGACTGGTGGGCGGGGTGGCCCTCGCCCTGTTAGCAGCAGCATTGACCCCAGTCTTCTCAGCACCAAGCAGGGAGGCCTTACACCCTCCAGACTGAAGGAGCCTTCCAAGGTAGCCAGTGGGCGGACCACTCCAGCCCCTGTCAATCAGACAGATCGGGAAAAGGAGAAGGCCAAAGCGAAGGCAGTGGCCTTGGACTCAGACAACATCTCCTTGAAGAGCATTGGCTCCCCAGAAAGTACTCCCAAAAACCAAGCAAGCCACCCCCCAGCAACCAAGTTGGCAGAGCTGCCACCAGCCCCTCTCAGGTACCCACGTAGGCAGCTTCGTCCTTGCCTGCTTGCTCTGTCGTTCTTTGCACTCCTTAGACTAGGTGAGGCTTGCCTATCTGCTGTTGTCTCGAGGCCTTTGCATGGGTCTTTCCCCTCCCTCCCCTATATGCCAAGTTTCTTCTCCCTCTTTTATGCTGTTTTCAAAACTCACCTCATTTATACTCTTCCTTGATCAACACTTAACCTGTCTCCAGCACTTGCATGGGTGGTTTTTCAGTGTTTATTTATACAAATATACCCATTTTTGTATAAATTCACTTGTGTCTTCCATGTGCACGTGCCATCTCCCTCATTAAGATGGAAGGTGGCCCAAGTCAAATATCAGACTTCCTTCAATATATTTCACAGCAGCATTAGAACAAGCCTCTGTACTTAGCAAATAGCCAGAAATCAAGGAAACTGGACTAGGTTTTCTCTGAGGTCCCATCTGCCTCTTATGTCTGTAATTCTGTTATCCTAAATATTTTGTTTTATCTTCACTTTTCTCAGGGCCACAGCTAAGAGCTTTGTCAAGCCACCCTCACTAGCCAATCTAGACAAGGTCAACTCCAACAGTCTGGATCTACCATCGTCCAGCGACACCCACGCTTCAAAGGCCCCAGATCTGCATGCTACAAGCTCCGCAACTGGGGGACCTCTCCCTTCTTGTTTCACCCCCAGTCCAGCACCCATCCTCAATATTAACTCAGCCAGCTTCTCTCAGGGCCTGGAGCTAATGAGCGGCTTCAGTGTCCCCAAGGAGACCCGCATGTACCCCAAACTCTCAGGCCTGCACAGGAGCATGGAGTCCCTCCAGATGCCAATGAGCCTGCCCAGTGCCTTCCCCAGCAGTACTCCCATCCCCACCCCTCCTGCTGCCCCCACTGCCCCCGCAGAGGAAGAGACGGAAGAGCTGAGCTGGAGTGGCAGCCCCAGAACTGGGCAATTGGACAGGTAGGTAGATGGAGAAGAGCTGAGCCTGAGCCCATCCAAATGCCTTGAGCTGATTTTGCCATTAGCAATACTATCCTATGTTTGATTGCTACTTTACGACTTTCATAATCTTTTCACATATATTCAGTGATTTTATTTGCTTCACAACAACTTCATGAGATCGGTAGGATGTTTTTGTTTTTAATTATTATTCTCATCTCATAAATGGGGAGACCAGTGCACAAAGATGACTTATCCGAGATCTCATAATCAGTTTAACCTATCCATCAAAGTTTTTGCTTTCTAGTCCAAAATCGTTTTTATTGTATCACACCCTAGTTTTCACCTACTGTAGTATGATCTTTTTTTTAAAAAAAAAAAAGATGACCAGTGAGGGGATCTTAACCCTTGACTTGGTGTTGTCAGCACCACGCTCTCCCAAGTGAGCTAACCGGCCACCCCTATATAGGATCTGAACCCGTGGCCTTGGTGTTATCAGCACCACATTCGCCCAAGTGAGCCACGGGCCTGCCCCATAATATGATCTTTCAAATAGCTAACTATACCCTGATTCCTAATCAGAGAAAAGCATTTAACATTTCAGATAAATTTCCCAAGCTGTGAGCCAAGAAAGAGGCTGCAGCTGTCTTCTTATTTAGTTTATGGAGATAAAGGGGCTCATAGTTTGATGTCTCAAGTCCAGAGTCTGCATCTCTCAAACCTATCTATGGTCCCAAATTTTAGTTTCTAAGATGGACCAACATGCTTCTCCTTTTTTATTTCCACAGTAATCAGAGGGATCGGAACACACTTCCCAAGAAAGGACTCAGGTAACCTTTAAATGTGTTTTTTCTTCCCTATATCTGGGGTTCCTGGTCTGTATGAAAAATAACTTGACCTGTCTCAGGCCCCAGTCATGAATTTAGTAACCCTTTTAGCTGAATCATTCATACGTGGTCCTGTACAAATACCACTTATCACTCTGCCTAAGCTTAATATCATGTGAGTCAACTTTTACAGCAAGTGTTCTTTTTTGGTGACAGGGGAGAAACGAGTTTGCACATGGGAATCGTACACCTACCTGTACCAGCCTGTGTTATCCCAGTCCTGGCTAAACCTCTTCTCTGTAATTTTCCTCCCTCAAAGTATGAGGGAAGACAGCCTGCCTGTGGGGTCACTCACATGGGCAAGGGCAGGACGTACCTGGTCTTCCGCTGTTAGGACAGCATTGGCTTTTTCAGTTGGGTGCTATGATGGCATGGACTTGTTCACTCCCACAACTTGAAGCACACGCATGGAATCATAAAGCTCTGTCCTGAGCTTCCTCCGTCATTTCTGCCCATGCGTCTGTAACTTTCTTGGGAATACCCTCTTTGGGGTCTGGGAGAGGATCTTGCTCTAAGGAGGTCTTGCTCCCTCCATAGGCAGCTCTGACTGCTCCCTCTTTTTTCCTTGTCCTTCTTTCAGAATCCCCTGGCTCCAGCCCAGCTCCAACATCCTCCACACCAACAAAACCTCTGATATCACTTTGTAGTTGCCCAGACTGAGTTCTTTTGCTGCCTCCTACAGGTACCAGCTCCAGTCCCAGGAGGAGACCAAGGAGAGGCGACACTCCCATACCATCGGGGGGCTCCCTGAATCCGACGACCAGTCAGAGCTGCCTTCACCCCCTGCACTATCCATGTCCTTGAGTGCAAAGGGCCAGCTTACCAACATAGGTCAGTGTTTTCAGTCACTCACTGTGGCATGGGATGAAGCAGGGGTCACCTTGCAGGGTGAGGCAAGGCAGCTGGGCTTTGGATTTCATCTCATATTTGACTCATGCTATCTTGGTGGCTTCTTGGTTCCTCAGTTTAATCTACCCAAGTGAGATTGAAGGTAAAGTGCTCCGAGATCCTAAACTGAAAAGTTGCCCCTGAGCACAACTTGTAGTGTCCTTATGGCATTAGAGAGTCTGAATGATGGCACAGAAAAGCCATCAACCGAAGGCTGGAGTCAAACCAGTGTAGTGAACAAGCACATTGAGCCCTCAGAACGGAGCCACCACACCCAGTGCTGCCAGGGCCCGCTGGTGAAAGGGCAACACTAAACTCAGGCTGGTGGGGAGGAGGGACGGAAAGGTCGATTGATGGCAAAGCATAGGATCTGCCTTCAAACTCAGAAAAGTCCAGATTCCCCAGCTGCTCTGGCTAGACCAGGGCCATGTTAATGGCAAAGCCTATAGATCTGCCTTCAAACTCAGAAAAGTCCAGATTCCCCAGCTGCTCTGGCTAGACCAGGGCCATCCCAGCCCTGAAGGCAGAGCTGACTAACGCTTGTCCTGGCCACACCCTTCAGAAAGGAAAAGTTAGGAAAGAAGGAAGTGACTGTGATTCAGAGACAGGGAGGGGAAGAAGCTTCAGGTGGAGGTCCTGGCTCCAGTGCAGAAGCACCCCGCCCTGGTTCTGGGAGGCCGTGTGCTGGAACAGGAACCCCCGTAGGACAGTGCCTGTTGTTTGCTTGCTGTACGTCTCTAAATCCATCTCTTCTTTCAGCCAAGTGAAAAGAAATGAGTTAACAAAAGACAAGGACCTGTAACACACCTGTGCAATGACTGGGGAATTTGAGGAAAGACTAGGAATCAGGATCATTTTGCCGAGGGAAAAGGACAGTTCTTAAGGAAGGGTCATCTGGCATCTGAAGGGCTATTAAATGGAGGAAGGGCCAGCTTGTTTTCCATTTCCACTAAGGATCAAACAAGAAGAAATGCACTTAAGCAGCAATGTGAGGGACTGGGTATATCACCTTACAGTGATATGATCACCTTACGGATTCCAAAGGGCCAAGAGAGAGGTGTGAAATCTTCTTCTGCACAGGTCTTTATGGACAGATTGGACATCTGCCTGCCCATGTGGAGGCAAAAGAATAGACCCAAAGGAGCTCTGTGTGGGAGTGAACCCTGAAAGGCCGGGATCCCAGCAAGGGGCAAAGGGAGAAAGGTTCTGCAGGTCCATGGAATTCAGCTGAGCCTGGCTTCAGAGCAGCTTCCACAAGACTTTCCTGACACTTTCACCCACTGTCTGTCTGGCCTTCAAGCCAGGGGAATACTGGGCAGAGAGGGCCATGTTTCTTGATGCTTTAGGGCCAACCTAGTAACCTAGAGTGACACTGCTTTGTGGTGAGATTCTCACTCCCTTCCATAATGTGAGCCCATTGGATCCCACAGCCTCGCCCCCTTCTCTAGCTGGTTCTTTCTCATCACTCAGATCTCAGTCTTGGTGTGAATTCTCAGTCCTCCCAAGCTGCCAGTTTTGTTTTAGAAAACCACAGCATCCCAGTCTCATTGGCACATCCAAGTGATGTGAAGGTTTCAGAAAAGTTGCCAGGCCCCCAGCCTAACCTTCAAAAGCAGCAACTCTGAGCCAGGCAGTGTGGAGGGAAGCTCTTCATTCCAGACAGCAAGGCCCTTCTCCATTAGGGCTTGATCTCCCCAGGAGGGACCCTGCTCCTAATCACCAGCTGCTTGCACACTCCCACCGCCCCACCTGCCCCTTCCTCTCCTGCCCTCTCCCTGTTTGCCTCTTACGCTCCTGGTGCTCCATTCCCCAAGGGACCAGAGAGCTGATGACCCTGCCTCTTCTCCTGCCCTCCCCCTCCGTCTCCTGTCCCCCTTCCCTCTGTCCTTCCAGTGAGTCCCACTGCGGCCACCACGCCAAGAATCACCCGCTCCAACAGCATCCCCACCCACGAGGCGGCCTTCGAGCTGTACAGCGGCTCCCAAATGGGGAGCACCCTGTCCCTGGCCGAGAGACCCAAGGGAATGATTCGGTCCGGATCCTTCCGAGACCCCACGGATGATGGTGAGACTTCATGCCAGCGCGGTTCACGCTCATTCCAGCTCTGCTGGGTCCCCTCACCCACTGCCACCTCCACTACCACCACTACCACCACCACACACATATATATGATTCACAGAACATGGAGTTGGGCCATTTCAGTTCTTTGTTCACATACCTTTGAAGGGTCTGGGGGCCCAGAAACCTTGGGTGGCACCATCTAGCACTGGGTCTTTGGTATGGAGCAACTATCATTGGGGCCAGGGGAGGGAGATTGAGCATGGAAGGGTGAAATAGTACCCCTCAGGGTGCTCTGAAAACCATAGCTTCTTTCCTCCTCATTCTAGCTGTAGTCTTTCTTCCCCACAGTCTCTCAAAATATACGAATAGATAGAAGAATGTAATGGTAGTTCTTAAAGCCTTACAAAGAATTAGGCATCTCATCCCTCTTTCAAGAATGTTCCAGAGATTAGCTTCAGGGTGGGACCATCTGACTGTTGGTGATGATCTGGCTGTTAATGGTGATCAGAGCCTGGAAGACCAGGCTTTATGGTAGATTAGTCCTCCCGTTATTATTTTCAGGACGCTCATTCCAGGAGGCATTCCTTGCAGACATGCTTCAGTTCTCTCAGTAGGCTCTATTGAATCAGAACAAGTATTCCTCACTTAAATATTTTTTTCATCTGAATGATCCCCGAGATCCTGGGCAAGTCCCCAGGTGCTGAGAAGAGGAGGCATGGGCAGAATCGCAGTATTTGTTCTGAGCAGCTAGAGTACTTTCCTGACTGGGAAGATAAGATGACGACTATCCAGGAAAATCTCCTTTCCCTCTCTCTGTAACCCTGTGCCCCCTGGAAGAGGCTGAGTGAGGGACCGCCATACCCAGGGTGCCAGAGAATGTAGACTGAAGGAGGAGGCTACCTCTACGCAGGACCTTGTCTCCCAGCAGATACCTACCTGCTCTGGGCTGTTGCGATACCAGCTGGGTTCCCTATTCTGTTCTTTCTGTTTGCTCCAGATACCCTCCAGAATCAGAATCCAAACTCCTGCTTAGAGCTCTTCCCAGGAACCCCCTGTCCCTGGAACCCCCTGGTAACTCTTTGTGTTCTCCTTCTCTTTCAGTTCATGGTTCAGTGCTGTCCCTGGCCTCCAGTGCCTCCTCCACGTACTCCTCAGTAAGAGCATTAACTTCTCTTCTTCCCACATCCCCCTCGCCCCTGCCATCCCATGCTCCATGCTCCCTGGAACCTCCTTTGGTGGGGTAACTGAGTCGGGGAGGGAGGCCCTGCCCTCTCTTCATGACACCTTATGGATCTGGGGGGCGGGGGGCGCCCAGAGCTTGAAGCACTTAGTCGGGTGTCTTAGGCCCTCAATTGTCTTTTTGGCCTCACCACCAACTCCTGAGCAATTCTGGTGCTTTTCATTCTCCTCCTTTGAAAAATGGAGACTCCCCTTACTGTAGAGGCCTTTCTGTGCCATGGTAAGTGGGAAGCACTTATGGCCAGGTGAGATGGTTAGGTTTCTAGGACTCTAGAACCCTAACAGTGTGACAGAGTTGGCCAAGCGTGGATTGTGGGGCACCAGGCGTAGCTTTTAGCTGTTAGGTATTCCTTGATTCTTAAGTTTGTTTTGCCCCTAATTCTTTGCTCCAAGTTGCTGGCAGTAAGAGTTAGTTTTCAGACCAACCAAAGTTTCATTTCCTAGCCTTTTGGGCAGTGACAATGTTGGCTAGAGATGAGCTCCAGAGAAGTCTTTTCCTTAAACCCTAATATAGGTCTGAGCTGAGTCCTGTGAGGAGTCAGGGCTGGGAAACAAGAGTTTCAGCCTCTCCGCACCTCTGAATCCTGCTTCTCCAAGTTCTCTACCCTGCCACTGGGGCCTGGCTTCTCCACCCCCATAGTAACTACTGCCTTTCTCTCTCTTTCTCTCTCTGTGCTCCCTTCTTCAGGCTGAGGAGAGGATGCAATCTGAGGTAGGGTGCAAAGCCTTTGTCTCTGCCTGTTAACACCACTGCAGCTCATTTTCTTTCCACATTTTATACTTCTTCTGCCACCAGTAGTTTGTGTTTCTCTTCCTTTCACAGCAAATCCGGAAGCTTCGTAGGGAACTGGAATCATCCCAGGAAAAAGTGGCCACCCTGACATCTCAGCTTTCTGCCAATGTGAGTGCCCTGAAGTAGAGGAAAGACCCAGGCAGTTATTTGCACCATATTAGATAGGTTCAACCAAGGGAGGGAAACTATCTGATAAAATATCCCTGGGACTTAGACTCCAAGGGAGCAGATCTTCACAGCTCTGCAGGAGAGGATTTGGGGATCTTCCTTTCCCTTCCCTGAGCCTCTGCTTTTATAAAAAACCATTGGGGGGCCGGCCCGGTGGCGCACTGGATAAGTGCGCCGCTTGGGAAGCGCGGCAGCGCTCCCACCCGAGGGTTCGGATCCCACATACAGACCGGTTCCCGCTCACTGGCTGAGCGAGGCACGGGAGCAACACCGAGGGTTGCAATCCCGTTGCCGGTCCCCGGT